GTGGGGGAGATCATGAAGGGAAGCAATAGGGCATGAAAGCGGTTATTCCAATATTTTCTGGCATCCTGAGGTTCCCGTAGGCCCTGTTTCAGCATAACTTATGCTTCAACAGCTCATTCTGAAATGTTTCTGAGTTTCGTGATGTTCTGATGACGTAAATAGGCTGTCCACCGTAACTCTCACCTGCTTCCACTCCCCCGGTACCTTTTCCATGGTTGGACACTACAGAGGAAGCTTGGGAGGAGGGATGAACATTGACTACAACCAATCAGTGCGGTCGATATCCAATCGGTTCAAAGGAAGTTTCATTTGAAATCAAAAATTGAAACGAAACAATCACGAAAGTCTTCTAGTGAATAAAAGGGCGGAATCTCAAAGGCAGCTGTCAAATTGTATCTTTTTCAGCCACAACCGGTACCACATTGGAAATGCAGGGTACTCGAGTGACGCGAACACAGTACGGATTCCGCACGTTACAAGAGTCGTCGGCTAAAATGTGCCTTAAAGTCACAGGATATCCGTTGCCAGAAATCACATGGTAAGCCTGCAGTTGACTCTTTTTATGAGGGCAGTTTGGCAGTGTTCGGCTTGGAGGGGCAACTTGCTGGTTCCCATCGATTACTGACAGTCTCACTGCGGAGACCTGTAAAGTTCTGTGAAGCTAGGCAAGAGCAAGAGCCTCGAGAGTCTACCAAATGGTGAAGTATAACTTAGCAGGAACCATCAAAAGGAACTAGCGAAAGCAGAATGCCCCTCCCAAGTCGAACTGTGCCTGCAGATATTCGGATTTTTGCGACAGCTATCCATTTCCTTCGTGACTTTGACATTATACCTTATTCCTGCTAAGGAACTGTTCTGATAACCCGCTTATCGCTGAGTATTTTTTATTTGTTCTATTATTTATTTACTTTTTTCAACTGTTATCTCATCTATTCCAGGTACAAAGACGATGTACAATTACATGAAGATGAACGGCATACGTTCTATGCAGATGAAGACGGTTTCTTCGCCCTAACAATCGATCCAGTTCAGGTAATCAATAAATGATTCAAGACGATCCCATGGTTTTATTTAAGGCTCCCAGCTCTACTATCGATCGTTATTGATTTTAGGTAGATGACACAGGTCGATACACATGTATGGCAACAAATGAATATGGTCAAGCGTCCACATCGGCGTTCTTCCGAGTACTAAAAGTGAGCGCTTCGCGACCTTCTTTCTGGTTCACTGAAGATGGTTAAAGTGAAAAAAGATATAAACAACTGAAAAAATGAATAATCAAATAAGCAAGTAAATAATGAAATAAACAAGGATGGCTTCAGGTCGAAAAAGAGGCTGCACCACCGAAATTTGTTAATGCACTCAAAGATCGCGAATGTAAAGAAGGCGATGTGATCAATTTCGAATGCGAGGTGAATTTTACGGATTTTTTTCTATTTTGCCAATTTTTTCGAATTTTCATTTCCTCTTCCTCCCTGGCTGATTCTGGGCGTTGATTAGTGTACGTCCACTACGTTACTCTTTAGGAGATAGGGGACTTGTCACTGACGTCACGCACGCGAAATATCTCAGAGATGGAGTAGGTGTGAATGCGTACTCCTTTTGAACATGCTGCTATGCCAAGGTAGGATAGTGGGGCAATTCTGGCCACGCCTTTGTACAGTAGAGGGAGCCGTGGCAGCTGTCAACGGCAATGTCATCGAAAAAATGCAACGTTCCAAAGCGCTCACACCATGTTCGAAGGAAGCGTGCAGCCGCGCCCCTTCCATTGTCTGGATATTAAGTGTATCATGTTAATTACGGGTCCCGAGACTTCCTAGTAGTATACAGTACGAGTTTTTTTTTCTCTCATTTGACGTAGTGGATAACGACGTCCACGCTGTCCATTTGTTCCAATTTACTATTAAAACCGCGAATTAGGAAATTCAAGTCATCTCTTGCTACTATCATCCCTTACTGTCGATATTGCATTATCTCGAAAGCTTTTTGCTGTTATGAAGAAAATTATTATCTTAGGCACTGTTCGGCTTAGGAAGGGCATTTCGCACTTTCGCTAGTACTTTTTGCCAGTTTCTGTCGAATTACAGGACATACCATGGTGAGATCTGTAAACTGTGGTCGAGCGCAGCCAAAGCTCTTATTGCATAGGTTCAAGAGTTTACAGGCTTTCACAGGACATCAGTTGGAACTAGCAGAATGCCCTCACAAAGCCGAACTGCGCTTTTTCTTAAGCTCAATGGTGAGTAGCTGAATTGAAATTTGTACACAATGTTTTTCGCCCTCCCTAACACCCACGATTATAAATATGACGATTTCTGCTCACAACTGGGCCATATAAGCACTTCCGTTTAAATCTGAATTTCAAGGTAGTCAATTTCAGGTCGAGGGTTGGCCGGAACCCGAACTCGTATGGCTTGTCGACGATCAGCCTCTTCGGCCGTCACACGATTTCAAAATCGAGTACGACGGCATGAACGCTAAACTCGAAATCAGGTAATAGGCAGAAATCTTTGTGTGGCCCACACTTGAGCTCGTCCTGGCCTAGGTGAAAATTTTCGCTAAATACGACCCCCCCCCTGGTTCTACAACCGTGTGATCATCCCACCAAACCTTCCCCAAGAATTTGTTGTCAAGCAGGGGAAGGGGAGGGCAGCCATGTCAGGGATAGTAATGGTTAGCAAGCGGTCCGGAAATCTCAAGGTTCTGTTCGATTCCCAGCGGGGGCAAAGCGTACTGCCCATAACTCGGCTTTCTAATTCTAACGTCTTCTTGATCCCCTTTACCTTACATTTTCTGAATTTTTCATGACCTACAAACGTGTTTCAGGGACGCTCAACCCGACGACACCGGAGTGTACTGTGTGAAAATCCAAAACGAATTCGGAACAGAAGAAAGCAAAGCCAAATTGGTTGTGGTACCTGATCCGGACAAGAACCACGTTGCACCAGAGTTTCAGGTACTTATTATGAATTTCAGGTATTCCAAGGTTGCAGTTAGAAAAAAATCTCCCCAAATAATGGATTTATTATAAGAGATGGACCTAAAATTCCAGGAATGGACTTTACTTTGTGGTCACATCAATAGCTTTACATAGTAAACTTTTGTTTTCAGGCCACAATCGAAGATGTCGAATGCAACGAAGGCGATGAAGTTCGCTTTAAATCAGTTATCACGGGCGATCCAAATCCAGATATTACCTGGATGATCAATGGAATACCACTGAGTGAATCGGAGAAGGTAATTGCTTTCTTCGACCTTTACTGCTTTACCTACTTCTCTAGATAATATTGCGACCTGCCCTAACTACTGTTTTTCTGGGACTACCTCTTACTAGGGTTAGAATCGCCGTTCTAGGGCTTTGTGCTTACCTAAAAGCCTCTCAACCTCTTAAGAATTTATCAACG